ATGTCAGTAATGAACGATGTATAAATTGCAAGATATGCAGGATATTAATAGATGCAATGGCGGCTGTCCCAGATCGGAGATTATCAGGTATAGAAAAGGCCAGAAAAGCTCTTCTATGACGGGGTTTAGCTCACCTCTTCTTTGCACTCACGCCAATCTTTCTTGGCAAAGTAGCAGTCGTTCATCTTATCCTGTTCAGCTATTTTCACAAAATGCTGTTTAGTATATGATTCATAGACCCAGCTGAACGCTTCAAAAAGCTCACCGTGGCAGCCAGTGCTGAAGATGCGCTTGTTCCTGTTGTTGCGTGGGTAAGCATCATTCCACCGCGCAACAGGTCATTGGGAAGTCAATTACCACTCATCGGGCTCGTCATCATCTTCCACTTCGGTATGAGGTTGCTCTGCGTTGTTAGACATGGTTGGAAGTATGAGAGGGTGAAAGAAAGGGAATCTTAGCCCGCAACCTTAGGAAGGCGGTTGGCATCGGAGATCCTCATGGCTATCTTATCGTCCGAGCCCGCGATTCTCCAATTCCCAACAATCATCGAAATCAACAATGCCCGCGCCAACAGGCAATGATGCCAATCTAAACGCCAAGAGACTCAATGTCTTGGTCTATTCCGGTGCGCTTAATTACTCAGCCCATCAACTTAGCCGCTTGCTCACCGACAGCGGTACAATAGGAACCGGAACGACTGTTGACTCAGTCCGTCACTGCGTCTACACCCTACGCCGCTTACTCGCCTCCCACTATGCAGTCACTCCAGTTACAGGAGATATGCTATTGAACGAACCATGGACAGCAACTTGCGCTCTCTTGGTGATCCCCGGTGGTGCAGACCTAGGCTACGGCCGCACGCTCAATGGTGCGGGGAACCGGCGCATCACACAGTTCGTTCGTCGCGGGGGCCACTACTTGGGCCTATGCGCGGGTGGCTATTATGGTAGTAAAAAGTGCGAGTTTGAGGTTGGGGATAAGACAATGGAAGTAATTGGGGAGCGCGAATTGGCCTTTTACCCTGGAACTTGTCGTGGCGGGGCATTCCCGGGCTTCGTTTATCACAGCGAAAATGGTGCCAGGGCGGCAGGACTGAATGTTTCAAAGGAGGTATTGGGTGCTGACGCAGCGCCTACTCATTTCAGATCATACTACAATGGCGGTGGAGTCTTTGTGGACGCGCCGAACTATAAGGATCAAGGGGTGGAGGTGCTGGCCAGTTACTCCGAGAAGCTCAATGTTGACCCCGGAGAAGGCGCTGCTGCCGTTGTATACTGTAAGGTTGGAGATGGTGCGGCTATCTTGACAGGACCTCACCCGGAGTATGCGACTATATTATTCCCACCAATGGAGTATCATTAACTAACCCGGTTTTCTAGGTTTGCCGCAGTCAATCTAAATCCAAAGGAAGGCGGGGCTGACTACAAAGATGTCGTGGATGCCATTGCTGCTGATGATAAGAAACGTACGGAGTTTCTGAAAGCTTGCCTACTCAAGCTTGGGCTGCAGGTTGCAAAAGACACCTCAGTGCCTTCTCTATCATCCTTGCACGTTTCTGGCTTAGATGCCGAGGTGCCATTGGAAATTTTGTCATTGCTTGCTCCATCACTGACAAACGAAAATGACAACGAATATCTGAAAGATGAGAATGATACGTTCCGAATTGAGCGTCCAGGTGCATGGAAACTAAGTGATCTGGAGGAGGCGCTCCCCACTGATGACGAGGGCATTGTTGATTACCAGACCGTTACCAAACGACTTGTTATTCACGATGAACTACCATCGTCGAAGATCACCCCTTACTTCAACCACCATGCATTCTACTCAAATCTTCGCCAATACCAATCCGAGTCTCGGGGAGGTGCATCACAATTCGGGTCGACTCTCATGTATGGTGAGGTTGTGACAAGCACCAACACAATCCTCGAAAAGTAAGTGATTCGACAATTAATCTGTCTTTGGGATTTTTTAACAATTTCTAGAAATACAAAACTGCTGCGCCTTCTACCACAGGGATTCACCGCCACTGCGACGGTCCAAGTTGCTGGACGGGGACGCGGATCCCATGTTTGGATTTCCCCAGCTGGATCATTGCTTTTCTCAACAGTGGTTAAGCATCCGATGGATAAAATTCAATCTGCACCTGTAGTCTTCATCCAGTATCTGTCAGCCATGGCTGTTGTGAAGGGTATCAAGAGCTATGCTAAGGGCTATGAAAATCTGCCTATCAAAATGAAGTGGCCGAATGACATTTGTAAGTGTCGAATTCTGATAAACGATCTTTCAAATTCTGATAAATTTCGCAGACGCCCTTGACCCGGAGGACCCCGAACAGAAACGATACACTAAAATTTGCGGCATCCTTGTCAACTCCCACTTCATGTCCAACGAATACATTTCGGTTGTTGGCATTGGCATCAACGCCACAAATGCTTCTCCAACTACTGCTCTCACGGCCCTCGCCGCCAAATACGCCTCGCCTGGGGCTGCCGCTGCATGCCCTATCACACTCGAAAAGCTACTTGCACGGATTTTGACGACCTTTGAAGATCTCTATACCCGCTTCCTCCGAACTGGATTTGACCGCGGTATGGAGGAGCTGTATTACGACGACTGGCTCCACATGCATCAGATTGTCACTCTTGAGGAGGAGGGCGGTGCCCGTGCACGTATTCAGGGAATTACCCGAGATTATGGTCTGCTGCTTGCAGAGGAGCTGGGGTGGAATGACCGACCTACAGGACGAGTCTGGCAGTTGCAGAGCGACAGTAACAGCTTTGACTTCTTCAAGGGCCTTGTCAAACGGAAGATCTAAGGGTATCTCACCACTGGGTGATAATTACCCAGGGTGGTTGAGACTTACCATTCCCTTTGATTGCCCAGGTTTTACCGACTAATTAGCCTTATATCTGCTCACTGCCGGTGGGTAGAGCTAAAAATACATGTAAATCTCTAACGTTACACCGAATGAATCGCATATGTATGCATAGTAGTAATTAGTGTGCATCCACGGGGTTTAACCATACTAGCCAATGAGGGTCAATACAATTGAACGCCCGGGTATCTCGTGGGCTTCTCCCATGGGTTAATTTGGGTATGTAAGTCCTCCTCGAAATTGGGCTTTGCGAAATCATTGGCCGTGAAGCATCGGAAAGGCCCACAATCCACTGCATTATTGATATTGTGCTCCGTACTCCGTATCCGTACTCCGTGCGTCTTTGAGAGCGAGGCTTCGTCCTGCTTCATCGCGCCCTGCCAGACAACTTGAACTGCGTCATATGATGTTTTCCATAATCTAAAATAACTCTTTCCGGTTCCAAGACTCCACAATTTTCGTCGCGAATGTCTTCCGAATGTCTGTTCTAAAAAGGGGGTTTGATCGTCACTAGTGGGTATTCAAGCCAGACCCGAATCATTGATCGTTTCCTCCGCTCACTGAGCACCTTGTGTAGTATATTCTGGGGTAGTCAATTCCTATTCAACGCATGATATATCTCAAATAATTTAACTGGTACATTTTCGAACCACGGTCACCTTTTGGCAAGAATTGAGCCACTTTCCAGGCGGGTGACGGTTATTCCTGGGTTTCCCCGGCGGATCTCCATTCAAGACATTTAGTCCACCTTGGACCCACAGAGCCAAATCTCTAAATACTAGCACTCTGCTTGTTTTCGTTCAAGCCATTCCTCCAATGGTCATTGTTTCAGACGATCTCCTCCGACTAGCTATAATTCCACCCACCGCCAGGCTGCCTTGTTCTCCGAAGACGCTGTTTCAGACGATCTCCCCCACAGTCCGGCGGTCCACGGGGCATTGTCAACCTATCAACATATCTTCAACTGACCGCTTAGCGCAGATTAGTCTCTCATGTTGGAAAATATCGATAGATGCCCAGGTAAGGATATAAAAGGGGACCATCTGCTGGCGAAGAAAGAGTATCAAACAAAGAAACAATCCTCCTACTCTTCAAACCCTCCAACCACTTCCACATCTCAGCCAAAATGGTCCGCATCACCGCCATCTTCACCCTGGCCTTCGCTGCCCTCGCTCTGGCTACCACCAACACCCAGTGCCAGAACAAGTTCGACACCTGCCGCAGCTCCGGCGACCCCAACGAGGCCCAGTGCGCTGCCGAGCACGCCGCATGCTGCTCCGACGCCTTTGACACCTGCCGCAGCAGTGGTGACCCCAACGAGGCCCAGTGCGCTGCTGACAACGCTGCCTGCAAGGGCCAGAAATAAGTCCAGATAGGCTAAAATCCATGCCTTTATCGACTTGAAGACCGATCTTCCATTATGGAATGGCCTGGGAAGCAGTTTTGCCTCTCTATCCGGGGATATACTCACTGAATCTGCGGTTGGAAAAGGAAAGGGAAATTATAATGGGTGAAATCTGTTCGAATTCATGTCAAGTATTTGCCTGCCTCTTATCTAAAAGCTCTGTACGTAAAGGATATCTTATTCAATCGGCAATGGAATTTCGAGTATGAAGTATGAAGCAGGTTTTTGCCGATTTTGTGGAACGTATTCACCAACTTGAACTTTGAACGAGAAATAACAAAGTTAAACCCAGAAACTAAAGATAGAATATCACTGGAAAGATAAGAGAAACCAAAAAAAAGTACTTTAATGTCCATTTAAGAGAGCGTACATATCTGTCGGTTCGATCAAGTGCATGTCGGGCTTGTACTTGAACGAAGGGATCCACCTACGAAAACGTTGAGCACCCCTTTGTGTTTGAAGTGGGCCAAAGACTCACCTGCCCAGTCATTTTGGCTATTATTCTGTCGCCTATCCAAAAATAAATGCTATTAGGGGTTCCATCTAGTTTATATTTGGTTTCCGGTTGAATAGATGGGTATATTAGATGGATAGGCCTGAGTGGATAAGGTATGCCTTGAAGCTAAACTTCAAACCCAATTCATGGAAACAAGTCCGATTCTATAGACATCTAATACAGTGGTATTTATTTGCATCTGGATTTCTTCAAGCTGTTGTTGATCATGCATTGCTGGCGCAGGAAAAACTGGCACTCCCCGGATTGTCGTGGATGGCTTTGCCAGAGCTATAAAGGCCAAGAACGCACTGTAGATACCAAGTTCAGCGGGATGTCACAGCAATTTGAAATTTGATTATGGGGACTCACCAGAACAACTCCAACAGAAATAGAGAAAATGTTGAGTAGAGTCTGCATAGTTCTCTTAGGAGAAGCAAACCAAGAACCTTGATCCATGTGCAAGCCAAAGATACCAGTAAACCCGAAGGTGAACCAACTGCCAAAGAGTGCAGTCTGTTTTAGGCGTCAGTAGTGAAAATGAAAAAAATACATAAGAGGAACCGGATAACTTACAATCAGACTTAGAAGGTTATTGAAAACTGGGATTGCTTCCGCAATAATCCACGCAACCAGCCAAAGCCCTGCAGCAATGCCAACCCAAGAGCCAACAGCTGCGAAATCTCGCTTATGCATGCGGTCGGTTCCAGCAAAGAGGCGGATATAGATTGACTTGGCCGCCACGTGGCTGTTTATAACACCGGCGATGACAATCTAGACAAGAGTTGAGTATGTCATCGCTAAGAAAATTGAGCATACAATAGAGGCAGAACTTACTGTAGGAAGAGCCACGCCATATGCTATCCGAGCGATCAAAGGACCAGCGGACCCCAGTGCCGGGGAAGTTACATCGGCACCTGCAAATCGGTATATCACGACTGCTGCAATAATATAAAGAGTCATATCCACGGTTTGGAGCAGCGCGAGAGCTTTGGGAAAGTCCTTAGGATCCTTGAGCTCGGCGATAAAGGTGAAAAAGGTATTGTGGCTGACTGCGCGGCGTCAGAAAGGCCCTCGAAAGGTTGGGGTTCTCGGGGAATAGGGGTTTCACTCACCGTAAGAGAAAGCGATATTGGATGCAGCTGTGAATCCGGTGACCAAGTTTGTCTCTACTGTTGGGTGGACAATCGCTTCGGGATTTTGAATGCCCACGGCAATCATGCAAATCATAACGGCCGAGAAAATGCTAACAAAAGCTAAGCGTATATGCAAATTAGCTAAACCTGTTGATTCGGATGAAAAGGCGGACAGTATAAGGAGAAAACTCACAAACAAGTGAAAGCCATGAAACTTTCTCTAGTGTCCGTGGCAAGGACAAGAAACAAGAAACAATCATTCCCACAACGCCAAAAACGATTGAGCACGTTGCATGTTTTGTGATTGAATTGAGCGCCACAGTAAATGTGAGAATGTGGCTCGCCATGATGAATACGAGGAAAAGCAGCTGGGCAGTTCCAAATAATTCATAACCAAAACGGCCCATCAGCACCTCGCCTGCATCGGCCATGCTAGAAATGTGAGGATGTCTCGATTTGAATTTCCCAATAAGATATCCGGTATATGTGGCTAGAAGGCCCATGCCAACAAGCACGATAAGAGCTGGAACAAGGCCCATACCTGCCACGGCCGCTGGAAGGGACAATATTCCCAGGGAGATAGTTTCCGAAACCATGAGCAGGCCACCTTGCCTGGATCATACGATATATTAGCCATTGAAATAAGGTCGGATCCCCGAGGGGCTCGAGAACTTGAATAACATACCACCACTTTAAGACCTTGTACTTAACCTCTGCGTTTTCCTCATCACCAAATGCATCCTGGCGTTGTGGTGTGGTATCAAGCTTCTTTTCGGCATCGATAGCGTCGGTGTTGGCCCATTCTTGATTTGTGTCGACATTAGTGGGCTCAATATCCACAATTTGAGGTCTTGTTGTGGTCGTCATCTTCATCTTCAATGGAAGGAACAAAAAACAGAGATTGTTGGTCAAATCACGGGCCAGGCAATTCAATGGTGCCAAAACAAATGTAGCCAGGGAGAAAGCGAAAAGAAAATATAGAGTCAGTCACTGAGGGCATCCCGGGGGAACTTGATGGATACAGCCCCGGACCCATTTCTTGCGGGGGCGTTAACACTCTCCTTCCAATTCAGTAATTCCTGGGAACAGAAGAACAAGCAAGGTGGATCGTGTGTGCGTTTTGCCCAGTAATACCAGGACTTGGCTGGATAAAGCAGGTACCCATGGCGGCAATACGGTAGAAAGCTTCTCTTGGTGCAGGGAAAGGCATGCCTTTTCAGAGGCGATAAGGCCGGCGCTATCGTCACGGTGTCCTGCGTAATTCTATCCGGCAACCTTTTGGGAAGTCTATCCTAGGGTAGGCTTATCGCTTGGCCTGATCTAGGACACAATTAGGGTTTACCTGTGAGGAACCAGGCTAGCATAGTTATGTAAACATTTTTTGCCAATGATGTCCTCTTTCAACAGCTAAATTTCGCGCTTATCTCAATTACCCCAGTCTATTCCCCAGATTCCTCACTTCATTCGAGTTGCGTGACACAGGACAGAATCTGGGGCATCCGCTCCGCAGCCCCAGCTGCCGGAAAGGCCTCCCGTTTTCGGAGTCACCTTCCCGCTAAGACTTCAAGTTCAACATCACGAGCATGAGGGGCATCTCACTCAAATATTAATGGCACCTCAAAGATGGAAAATCCCGCTTTTTAGAGAGTCTATATTTTATATTGTACAATCGAGTAATTGAAAAAACAGATTTTGTCCGAGTCTGATTTAAGTTTAAGTTGTTGAACCTTGGAACCTTGGAAGTTGCCGCCGCCGGGGCATACAACTCGAGATTATGGGTTAATGTTTATAGTATTTTTGGAGTCTCGGGGTCACTAACTTGGAATGAGCTAAGGCTGTCGGAGCAGCTTTCCAACTACTACTAGTAGTAAATTGCACAGGGAAATAATACTAGTATTACCTAATTGATATTAGTAGTTACTAGAGAGCAGCCCATATGCTAAGGCACTGAAGTACCGCCTTGGTCACTACTGGTAGTATCCGCGTGCCTAGGTAACGAAAGGGTGAGAGATTCCTATGGTGTGTTTGCTCAAGCTCTTAAGAAAGGTGGGGCTTTAGTAAGGACTACATAATATTCTCAAATAGTGTGGACGGAAATTTTGTAAGCTACCTAGCCTGCTTTCAAGGTTGGATGCCAGTGGAGGGCTCCAGGGATGTTCGAACATCATCTAGCTTTTTCAAAACACTTCCTTGTTGTCTTGTAAGTTATTCATGCCAGCCCTGGAGGTGGAACTTCAACTTCAAGTTGAATCTATTTCAAGGTTCGACCCTGGAAGTTACTAGTACAGCATCATAATGATCCGAGAGCTAAGAGAATAATATTTTCCATGATAAACAGCCCTGGAGGTTGGTGGATGGGACTGCAATCTTGGAGCCATAGCGCCAACTCGGACCAGGTAATCACAGGCTATGCATTAACCTCGCAAAGCTATATACTAGTTATGTACTAGGGGCCATAAGGTATTGTTTCAATTTCAAGTTGGTGACAATGTAATAGTGAGGGCAATCAATGTTTGCTTTCGAGTACCTCACCTAATACCAGAGCGTGGTCCAGATGATCTACTCGCTCACATTCTTCAAGGACAATATTGCCGACAGATTCAACACGCCTCCTTTCTTGTCTCTGCGATATGTATACCTCGGAACCTTATCCAAGACCTACATACAAGGCAATAATACCTTGCAGCTAGTTCTAGCCGATTGATAGAGTTAAGGTTCATCGTATAGAGATATCGTCAGGTCGGTAATCCCGAACTATCGGGTTCGTCACAAAAGCTAACGGCGCCCCCTTGCTTCGGCGTCCGGACTTGATCGATCCAACCTTGCTCCAGCTCGATGGCGCATGGGCAGTGACATCAGGCATGAACAATTGCGAGGGGGCGCAAGAGTGGATTAAGGGGCGCATTTATATGCGCCTTTGCCTGGTGGTTCGCATCGATTGTTGAACTATATTTGGTGGGGGCTTTCTCGGACATCATTGTGGTCCGCTGGTGACGAGCTGGGGGCTGGTCGGCTCATGGCCCGAAGCTCAGCTCGGTCTTTTTAGTGCCTGGTCATAATTTGTTGTGCATAAGATAGATCTAGTGTCATAAACCTGGAGATCGATCTGATATTTCCGGTTATGCTATTACTAGTAGTAGTAGTAGTATGACGAGTGTTGAGTTGGCTTGAGATTCAGGCCACAAGGCTGCGATAAGACATGTCTTTTGAGGCCGCTCCTAGTAGTACGGAATGGTATATCTCTGGCCATTCCCCTGCAATAATTTTATCTCTACTATGACTATAGCGTGAAAGATGGATTCTATCTATGGACAAGAACTTATATAATGGTCGATGTAGGAAGCCAAGAATTTCAAAATTCGCTAAAGCGATGCCAATGTATTCCCGCCAAACACTCCGTCAGTATAGGACAATTCAACTCTCGATAGCATCTTCCAATTTTGCTCGATGGAGGCGATATATTCGCCGATGGCTAAAAATATACTACCTGTTAATTGCACTGGCAAACACACAGGCCACCTATCCAGGACATTCACCCGCTTGCGTCCTACGTTTGACGTCAAATGCCAACCGCGTGTCAACCTGCCCAAGTGGGTCCTCCCAACAAGATAAATTTGTTGCGCCAGGGCATGGCAGGGGACTAGACTACTGCGATCGGGAATTTTTTTGGGAGCTAGGTGAGTGATATTCGGCATTTGAAACACCAAGGTTCGAGGTCAGCTTTCTTCCCGAGCTGAGAATCGGTGGGCCCTTGGTCATTGCGAACCGGCGAGGACCCGGTCTTGCCGGCCGGCGTCCGCACGAGCCCGCTTGGTTAAGACGTTGAACTATGATCGCCATGGTTATTTATGCTGAGGGCTGGACTGGGGAGTATCTTTGTCTGCGGGTCTTCTACAGGGTCCCCCGGGGATGGTAACATATCGATTGCGGGTAATAAATAGCATCAATGGTCCATGGAACAAGGTTGAATATGCGACTACGGTGCAGGGATATCTGCTTATGCCACCATAAAACGAAGGACGGAGTGGCTCGGCATGGTCAGATATTCTGTGGATGTTAAATGATAATGAAGTGGAGCCAAGTTGGACGCCGTTAGATCCTTCATCTCGTGGTAGTGGCGTGGGTTGACACAAGCCGAATAGGAGACCGATAGAGTTGGAGCATCCATATATACTCCGTACAAGGCTCACGGATATGGATAGGGTTTGAATTGACCCAAGCTCCAGGATCCATACTCCGTGCATCGTTGTTTCACGATGCCCGTGGGGGCGGTGTCGAGACAGCCGTTTTTAATCACGAACCTGTCGATCATGCGCCAGCCAGCCTCGAACTGGTAGGAGCTTTCTTGGCCAGTACTGGGAGCCCCGTCGGGCGAGGCTTGGATTGCACCGAACAGTCTGGAGCTGAATGGGGTGGGTGGTGGCAGGCTCAATTTTGAGGATGGTCCATGTGAAGGGTGAATGGGATCGTCAACGGGATTCAAAGTGACCAAAAGGCAATACGAAAGGACTCGCATTTTATTTCGTAGGAAGTAGTTAGTACAGTATGCAGAGGTTAGGAACCCTGGTGGGCGACGGGTCTCGGTCTCGGTCTTATTCTCCATGGAATTTCTCTGATATGAATCTCCCCATTGAAATGGCCATTCGGCCCAGCTCCAGCTGGGCCATTCACATTGCGTGTCGAGCTTGGACTGGAGGGTGGAGCCAGATGACAGGAGAAATTGCCGTATTGGTCTGACTGGCCCGTCTCCTGGACTGCAAGTATCCATCAGGGTAGAGAGAGGGCAGCGATCGACAGAGCGGATGGAGCGCGGATGGCTGCAGGGCCTGGGCAGGCGAGCCAAAGTAAAATAAAATAAAATGAGAAGATCTAAAATCCCTTGAACGTGGACAGGTGGAAATTGGGGGGGTTCATCCCGGGCAGCCCCATCAGGGTGATAACCTAAAGGTGCATTTGAAACGAACAGCCCCTGAGGCTAGACCGAGGTCGGTACGGAGTGTAGATGGAAGTGTAGGCAGATGCAGTACGAAGTAGTAGGAGGGAGTAGAGTTAGAAATGTAATCAGGAGTATGCCGCATGGAGTACTCCGTAAGGATGGAGAGAAGAGGTGAAGTGGAGAAGGGACAACGTGGTTCTCCGAAAAGAAAAGAAAGAAACCTTTGGACCCATGGTTGAACGACGGCAGGTACGATAGGGCCACGGAAGGTACGACTCTTTGTACACACAACCTATTGACCTGCTGACTTACTCTCTTGACCGTACTAGTAACTCTTAAACTCTGGAACTTCTCTTTTACTACTCCGTACTTCCCTCCACAATACACACTAGCACTTCCACTACCAGAACCATTACTATCGACCCAGAAAGACCTCGTCGGCCCCTGACCGCATCTGCAAGGCCTCGCTTGCCTGGTCTCCACCAAAAACAGAGCAACGCACCGAATCCTCCTTCATCTTAATCGGGGCTAAACCACCTGCAGATTAGTTCGTGCACGGTCTTCTCCAGACGTTGCGCTTTTTACACCCTTTATCCCCCTTCTCCTCCAGGGGTTATTCAAGATATTGTGTCGGGGGGTACACTGTCTGATCGCTTCAGGTGCGTCGCCTCAATTTCGTGTTTAATGCGCCCGCAACTGGTCACTTGTTGCCCGACAATTGACTTTCCCAACTCCCGCGGGCCCTTTCCCCCCCCAAAATTTTAAAGGGGTTAACTAACAATCGCGACCTCCACAATCTAGACCACACCTTGATCTTGTTCACGCCTCATGATCGCGAACTCTTCCCTCGGATAATTTTCACAGTCCTCTCCCCCTTCCCCTCCCACGCAACGTGGTTTCGACAAGGGCGATGACGGCCTCACCGCCAGCCTCACCCACGGGGACCGCCCCGCGGCCCATCAGCGCGGTGATGCGCACGCCGCGCAGCAATAGTCGCATGAGTATGAGTAGTCGACAGGGTGGGAGCCGGGCCTCAGATGAAGATGGCAAGACTGCTGTCAAAGTCGGTACGTGATCTCTTGTCCAAGGAGTCTGTTTGGGTTTGGGACCTTGATGCGCGCGCATCATATTCGATAGTCACAACCTGTTGAAGGTAGATGGAGAAGCATAACCGCAGAACAAATCACTGATATTCCTGGCATCTTAGCTGTCCGAGTACGACCTCCCCTCAAACCTACGGACCCCGGATACGAATTGATTCCGCAACGATTCCAACGCTCCATGGTTCACGTCACGGCCCCAACCAGTTTGGCTGTCGATGTGCCGCAAGGCCGCAAGCTCTTCGTTTTCGATCGCGTATTCCCTGAAACTGTTGATCAAGATGGTGTTTGGGAATACCTGAACGACAGTGTAAGCTCGTTCGTCCAGGGATACAATGTTTCCCTTCTTGCCTACGGTCAATCTGGTGCCGGAAAATCATATACCATGGGCACCTCGGGTCCGAGTGAGCAAAATGAAGCGGAAGCAATGGGTATGTTTGACTTGAGTGATGAGTGATATAGCGGCGAGAAGACCAGCGCACTAATCATGTACAATATTCAGGTATTATTCCCCGTGCTGCGCAAGCTTTATTTGAGAAGCTTGATGGCCCTTCCAAACACACCCGCAATGGTTCAAGTTCAACTGGCCTGCGGACCCCACAAAGATACTCCATGAGTTCCGCCTCCAGCTTTGGGAAGCTGAACTTGGAGAAGACCTGGCAGCTTAAGGCGACTTATGTTGAGGTATGAAGAGAATGTAATCCACCGTCCGTGGGGATTTGCTAATACTCGGTTTAAAGATCTATAACGAACACCTCCGCGATTTGCTTCTGCCAGAATCTACTGGGAACAGCGACCGCAGCAATGTTTCAATTCGCGAAGATGCCAAAGGGCGCATCCTTCTTACTGGCCTCCACCAAGTCAATATTAATTGCTTTGATGATCTGATCGGCGCTCTAAACTTCGGCTCTACTATTCGCCAAACCGATTCCACCGCCATCAACGCCAAATCCTCTCGCTCGCATGCTGTTTTTAGCTTGAATCTCGTTCAGCGGAAGTCCACTGGCGTGCAAGCGACCTCTTCTCCGAAGGAAAAGCGCATGTCTATGCCTGTTGACTCCTTCTCAGGCGGGGATTCCATTACTGTTGAAAGCAAGCTTCATTTTGTCGATTTGGCTGGTAGTGAGCGCTTGAAGAACACTGGTGCCTCTGGTGAGCGCGCAAAGGAGGGTATCTCAATCAATGCTGGTCTCGCGGCTCTCGGAAAAGTCATTTCGCAGCTTTCTTCTCGCCAGTCCGGTTCTCACGTTTCGTACCGTGACTCAAAACTCACCCGTCTTCTCCAGGATTCACTGGGTGGCAACGCTTATACCTATATGATTGCCTGTGTGACCCCTGCCGAGTTCCACCTGAGCGAAACTCTCAACACTGTTTCTTACGCCCAACGCGCTCGTGCTATCCAAAGCAAACCCCGAATTCAGCAGGTTGCCGACGAGGGAGATAAACATGCATTGATCGAACGTTTGAAAGCGGAAGTTGCATTCCTTAGACAACAAATCCGCAATTCAGAGGGATCAGAACGCCGCGACACAAGCTCAACTGACCGCAGCGAACGCAAGAACGAGCGAGAGATCCAGCTGCAAAACCAACTTCTCGACGTCCAAGAGAGCTATAATGCTCTCAGTCAACGCCATACCAAGTTGATTTCTCATCTGGCCGAGGACAACCAGGCCGCCAACGGCGAGGCTGATGAAAGCGCTGTTGATGGAAAAATGTCTATTGAGCGAATGCAGCGATCGCGCTCCTTCGCCGAGTCTGTGGAGCAGGTGGTTCTCGAATACGAGAAGACCATCCAAGCCCTCGAATCCTCCCTGTCTGATACTCGATCCTCTCTAGCCACTAGTGAGAGTACCTTGCTTGAGCGAGAGACTAAATGTACCTATGTTGAGACTGTCAACGCACAGTTGCAGTCTCGTATCCAGAAGTTCTTAGATCGAGAGGTTGGCACTGAGACCTACCTCCATGAACTGGAGTCCAAGCTTGATGGTGCCTCTACCGGGGAGGAGAAACATGCGGCTATTGTGGCCGAGCTGCGCAAGGAGATCAACCGCGCACGTGAAAATGAAACCAGCTGCGAGGAATACATCTCAACCTTGGAGGACCGCCTGGCCGAATCTGATCAAGACATGGAGCTGATGCAGCGCGAGGTCATCCGCCTCGAGCATGTAATTCAGCGCCAGAGAGGCCTTGGCCAATTGGATAACCTGCTTCAGGATCTTGACTCGCGCCATCACAATGCCGGCGAACAGCCCGAAGTCCCTAATGGGGTCAATTCTTCCTATGCTCCTGTTCCGGCTAAGACTCAGTTCCACCGACACACCCCATCCCTGGACGTTCTAAATGAAGCCGTTGAAGTAGCTATCCCTGAGTCCGATGAGGATCTTGGTGAGCCGATCATTGAGGTTGACGAGGAGTCGGTGGCCGAGATTGAGCGACCCGCTAGCGAGACTAGCGATGATCTGAGAGTCCTGGAGAATGTCACTAGCAAGCTTGAGGCCCGTCGCACGGAGGCTCTCCGTGAAGATCCTGTTACTAGCCCTGCTCAATCTCAGTTTGTTGCTGACAAGCTCGAGACTGTTACCCAGGAGCTTTTTGACTTGCGCCTCTCCCATGAGAGTGCTCTTGGCGACTATGAGCTGCTCGAGTCAAAGTACGAGGAGGCCATGAAGGAATTGGCCGCACTGCGCCAGGACAAGCTCGATGAAACTCTTCACCCGGCCCCGAGTGTCCAGAACGAGGTCTCCCGCCCCGTCTCTTTTTTAGAGGATCCCAAGGCTCCAAACACGAAGTCTGGAGCACAACATTCATTCTCACAATCGCTCTCTTCGGAATTATCCTCGGCGAGGGATCGACTACATTGCGCGAATTATCTAATGATTCGAAGCTTGAGAATCCCGAGACTCCAGTCACCCCAATGGCACCGTCCACTATCGCTCCATCTGACGCCGAGGACCTCGATAAGATGCGCAAGGTTCTTGCCGAGCATCAGGAGGGCACGGATTTGATGACTCAGAAGTATGGTCAGCTCCAAACTGAGCACGAGGAAATTCTTTTACTCGTCGAAAGGCTCAAGGCCGAGGCTGAGGCTCAGCGCGCTAAGACAAGCTCCCCTACCACTCCTGGCTTCAAGATGATCCGCCGCATGACTAGCCAAAATCTTCTCTCCGGCGTGGATCGTGCTCACCGTTCTCTGACCTCGCTGCGTACTATCGCCAGTGAGGAGCTCTCCAGCAAGCCCGAAACATTACAAAACTTCGAGGTTCACCTGGATGCAACTATGCACGAACTGGCTACCCGCATGGAGCGACTGCAGTCACTCGAAGCTGAAAACCAGAGTGTGAAGAAGGAAATGGAGATGAAGTCCACCATCATTTCTGGCCTGACCCGAGAGCGCTCGAGTTTGCAAGGTGGTTCTTCCGTGGACATGGGTATGGTCAGCCAGTTGCGCGATCAAATCGTTGCCCAAGAGAACCAAATCAATGAGCTCAAGCAAGCCCATGAAGCTCGCGAGAAACAGCTGTTGTTTGAGATGGAGACCCTTGAGGGCCTTCTGAAGAGCCAAGAGTCTGCTACTAAGGCCCTGGACGCCGGAGCTGAAGAGCAAGACAAGAAAATTGACGCTCTAGAAGGTGAACTTTCTGAGTGGAAAAGCAAGCACCAAAATGCCCTTACATCTCTACAGTCGTCTGAGACACAGCTATCGAAAACTCTGGCTGAGCTTGAGACTGCCCTGGCCTCTGTAGAAACAATGCGCTCCGAGCGTGCAGCTTCCGATGGCTCTTCCGACAAGGAAGCTGCTGCACATGCCCTCGAGTCCGAACGATCTAAGCAACAGGAACTTGTGGAGAAGTTAAAGAACGACATCGACCAACATCAATCCACCATCACCGCCCAGCTAGCTACCATTGCTGGTTTGGAGCAGTCACACGCCGATGCCCAAAAGCAACTCTCTGCTGCCAAGGAGAGCGACAGCGGCTCCGCGGACTCCCAGCAGGCCCGAGTTGCGGAGCTTGAAGAGCATATTTCTATTCACAAGTCGGTTATTGCTACCCACACATCTGACCTGGAATCCCTGCAAAACTCCCACGCGACTGAACTGGCAGAGCTAGAGGAGCGAACCAAGGCTGCGGTTCTGGCCGAGCACGAGTCTCATATTGCCGAGAAGGATGCCGAGCATGATAGGTCAATGGCAGCTTTGCAGAAGGAAATTTCTGACTCGCGCGATGAATTGATCAAGCTCATCGGATCTGTCTCAACTCTGCTCAACTCGGATGTTACTGCTGAGAACATGGCTGACCAGATCCAAGATGTTCTGGCCCAGAAACAGCATTTCTCTGAGAAATACGCGGAGTTAATGGACACCAATGAGGATCTTCGCAAACAGATTGACAATGTAAATATCGAGGAGTTGGCAAAGAAGAGCTCCATCCAGGATGCCAAGGTCAATGAGCTGGCTCTCTTGGTTGCAACACTGGAGGACACTCTTCGTCAAAAGGACGAGCAGGTCAAGAAGAAGGAGGCGCTAGTCGATGAGATCACTCTGGAGAAGGAGAAGAGTGTCCGCTTGGTCGAAGAACTGGAGGAGCAGATTACCAACAGTTTTGATCAACACCACAACCGTCTTTCAGTTATTCAGCAAGAGCGCGACCAGGCCCTGGAGGATACCAAGGCTAGAGTTGTTGTTCTTGAGAAGGAAATTGAGACCTACCAAGTGCGGATCGAGCAGCTGGAGCTTCAAATCAAGAACAGCGGATCTCAAGACGGTGCCCACGACCGAAGCAGCTCCCTCACATCCAATCTTCGCAAGAGCTCATCGGCTGCGTCTCTGCCCTCTCCTCCCCCAGCCATCCCTCTCCCCCCACTTCCCTCTATTGCCTCTGGGAGTGTCTCCCCTCCCGGCTCTCGCCATGCTAGCAGGGAGCTGGTGAATGCCCAGATCGTCGAGGACCAAGAAACTCGTATCCGTACTATTGAGAAGCATCTCTATGCCGAGAAGCAACTTACCGCTACCCTCGAGGAAGCTCTTGGTGACCTGGAAGCTCAGAGTAGCAAGGTCAAGACCGACTGTGAGGGCTGGAAGAAGAAGGCCTGGGGCCTTGAAGACGAACTGTCCACCCTTCGCAAGGAGCGTAACTCCGCTCGTCTTTCCCTTCAGGCCGTCGAAGAAGAGCGCAGTGCCCGCAAAGAGGCCGAGGCCGCGCGCGCCCAATTGGAAGAGCGGATGAACGCCCTCAACAAGAAAAAGAAGAAGAGCACCCTCAACTGCTTCTAAACACTTCTTTTCCCCGACCCTCCCTCACTAAGCGTTCATTACGCCTGTCGCTACCGTTTATGGATGTACACTTGATTGAAATTTCCCCCCATCTTTGTTTCATACCCCCTTTATTCCCTACCCCCTTTATTCCCCTTCTTATCTCTTCTGTTTTTAACTGATTTACGCCTCCATATTACCCCAATCCCCTGTATTATGACATCTTGTTTATTTTCACCGTCGATTCTTCGATACCTCTTCTGCCCTTCTTGCCCTGTGCTATAGTTTTGTTGGATACATATCCTCTTTCTGTTTTTTTTTTTACATGCAATTTGGTTTCTTGCTCGCGCATGAACCCCTACCCCTCTATGATTTGGTAGTCTCTGAACACTGCTGGATACCATCTCCGTTGTACATTTTCCGTTGGTTGGCTGTCTCTAGATTGGACACGCAATCCAAAACTTCTGCTGCCAGGGATCATTTCCCATAAAAACCTACTTTTTCCTTCTCTTCTTCCCATGTATCTTTTTTGATCCGCTCGTTCATATTTTGATTGTGCCTGGAACATAGCTTTTATATTACGTACTATCAATTAGATGGCTTTTATCTGAGACAAGTTACGGCGAGCTGCTTGAAAATCGAGATCATCTCATACCTAGGTACTGGTAGCATGTTATTGTTCAGTTTGATTGCTATCTTCATTTTAATACCAGGATATTGCTGGTTATGTGACCACATGTGGCTACTACTAGTAGCACTATCATAATTTCCACTTCCAACCTTTCCCCGAGGAACCTTCGATTCTCACCCAAAGGGTTGCCATGCTCGCAGCAAAAAGCAGAACTCCCACGGTGATCGTAGCCATCTCGTAGTTCGAGGGATCAGTTAACGCCGACTGACTGGACAACAACAATCCCGTCAAGGGAGTCCCTAGCAACGCACCGATACCTCGAACAAGATACAGCGCCCCATTGACCGAAGTAAAATGCTGAACGCCAAAAAGTTCGATCAAGCTAGCAGGGAACAGCGAGATATACGCAGCAGCGAAGGAGCCGTATGATATCGCGAAGATGATGAATAGGACATTGGCGGCAGAATGAGGCACGGTATCATCGACAAATGTTGAAGGTAACCAGAATGCAAGCACAACTACCGAGCTGATGATAGTCGTCAAGAAGAGCACATTCAGTCGACCGAATTTATCAGCTGCATATCCGATCAGAATTCGAGAAACGAAATTAGCCGCATTGCTGATTGTGATAAAATTATCTGCCATGCTGCTGCTGTAGCCCAGAGCCTGTGCATAAGCTGCATAGAAGAACAGAGGTGTGGAGTATCCCGCAGATTGAAGAAAACACCCCAGAGCTTGTGCGACGAATTTCTTGGTCTTCGCCACTTTCCAGTCAATCAGGGGCACCTTGATCCATCCGGTCGTCTTCGACAACCCAGCTACCTGGTCAGCAAGCTTTTTCTTGAACTGAGGCTCCCAGCCCAGTGTGCAGCCAGACAAAGGTACGAAGAAAATGACCAAACACCCGGAAATTCGTAACGCGTTCCGGAATCCAATGTGCGAGGTAATAGCCCGCAGCACAGGCGGCCAAATCATACCCCCACAAGCAGACCCAGAGATAACAATGCCCATAGCCAACCCGCGGCGTTTGTCAAACCAGGTCGGAACGACGGACATGGTAGGGACGTATGCCATGCACGTCCCCAAACCAACGAGCAGGCCTTGTGTCAGCGCGAATTCCCAGACATACTGACTCAGACTGGCGAGGATGCACCCGAGGCCGAAGACGAGACCGCCGGTCATGATGACAGGCTGTGGGCCGTAGAGTTTTGCCCAGGTCATGACGAAGGGACCGCCCATGGACATTATTGCGATGGATAGGGTGCCGATTAGACTGAGGATTGAAGATGAGGTCCCCGCAAAGACTGAGGAGGCATCTTTGGCCATTTCTTCATAGATGGCTTGGTAGACACCATAGGAGAAGATGATCGCGCAGGTCATGAACATTGTCATGAAGCCTGCAGCAACGATGAATGCCTGACGGCTGTTTTCATAACCGAATTAGTATCGTGGATCAAAGGGTAAGGGATCATTTCTTTGTGCGTATTTCCCCAATTGTTGTATCGCGGAGGTGTGGATAGCAAAGCTTGGCAGGGTCTGGGGTGAACGTGGAGTAACGGCTTCAGTTGTGAACTCACAGCTTTGTGGGCTTTTGGGGCGAATCATTTTCAATCTGCGAGGGAGTGGGTTGGATGACTGGTTCACCACCAACGACGCTGGTAGTATTCTTCTCCTCTTCTCCCATGACTCTGTCTTGGGAATCTGCCAGGAAGGACGAACATGAAGAGAGAGAAAGGTAAAGAAGAAACAAAGCTTGGTATTGAGGGCTGTACTTTGCTCCAAGAACGTAGTTGGAGACTTCGGATATAACGGCATCTCTTTTGCCGATGGGACTCTCCACAATGGTTTATCTGATTGAATTTCCCCGGATTGCCACGCGAGCCGCGCATGCATGAACCAACTTGAAATACACTGTGCACTCCGTGCTAAAAATTCACTATATTCTTTAACTTTAAAGCCCGAGTCCACTTCACCATCGGAGTAAACACAGGATTTGTGTGAACCAAGATTTATTCTGTGTGAAATTTGGAGATTTGGAGTAACCCCGGCATAAGAAATACCCACCGGCAGATCTGCTGATAGGCTCATCCGATATAGGCTCATATATCCTTGTCATAGGGTACATTGTCAATATAGAAGTAATGGAAGTGACATATTCTTGAAAGAGATGAAAATGAACTATTGGTATAAAGACAGTGGATAATTTTAGCCTTTTATGCCAGCCCAGATAGCTATACATGTGTGCCTGAGGCTCAGTCATATGTGCGAACAAGCGCGGTAACAAGTATGAAAGGCCTCCGCACTTTCTGAGTGACACAGAGGTATTCAAATCAGTTATTTTTAAGAGCACTGATTTTCCAGTACTCTTAAATAATCAAGATGTTGTTCATCGATGACTGGGACTCGTACTCAGGAAACAGCTGTGTTATCTTTATCCTTACTAGTAAGATGCCATCCAGGGATTGAACTCATCACATTGATGAATACCTAGATATATTCCGACCTGACATTATTTCCGAACATTAGTAGCCATATTTTCCAAGGTTCTGTCACCTGTGATTATACAGTAAACACTGGCATGAATAGGAATTCGAACCTCAATCGTATAGATCTGCCCCACAGTAGCTGATGAGTAATCACATCTGATGACGTCTCCCTCCAACGTGGCTTGTTTGTAGCTTCGCAGCTCACCCGCGCCAAAAGTAACATCACCAAACACCACAGCCATGTCGGGTCTCGCACCCTCGAATGTGGTGATCATTCACCCTGACCTAGGCATTGGTGGCGCAGAGCGATTGATCATTGACGTCGCGTTGGCCCTCCAAAACCGCGGTCATCGCGTGACAATCTATACCTCACATTGCGACAAAAGCCATTGTTTCGAAGAAGCGCGAGATGGCACACTCGATGTACGCGTGCGCGGAAATACCATATTCCCAGCTCACATATGCGGCCGCCTGCACATCCTCATGGCGTCATTGCGCCAGCTTCACCTCACCGCGTCACTCCTCTCCGAACTTGGGTCCAGAGACCAACCGAACAGCTCAGCGGCAAAGAATGGCCTCAATACCGACAACAACGATATTCAAGATGATATTTTCATAGTTGACCAGCTGCCCGCATGTGTTCCTATCTTGAAAACCTTCAGCCATCCTCGCAAATCTCGCACCCAGCGTATCCTCTTTTACTGCCATTTCCCCGACCAATTACTTGCGCGGCGCAATGAAGGTGGCTCGCTCCTTCGACTGGCGAAGATCCTGTACAGATATCCCTTTGACTGGTTTGAGGGATGGGCACTCAGTGCGTCAGATCGGGTCGTTGCGAACTCGAATTTCTCGCGGGGCGTGGTGCGGGATGTTTTCGGGCCGGATCTGTTGGGAGATGTGGAAGTTGTCTATCCTTGTGTTGATACAGATGCGAAATTTACACCCGAGAAGACGGAAAGTGGCCCGTTATGGGGCGGCACGAAGATCCTATTGAGTATCAATCGCTTTGAACGCAAGAAGGACATGGCTTTGGCTATTCGGGCCTACCATGGACTAGGTGCAGAGAAGCGAAAGGGTACGCGATTGGTAGTTGCTGGTGAGTTCAATAACCCCTCCATACATATGTCCCTCTCACGCAAAGTTTCTAAATAACAATACCAGGCGGCTACGACAATCGCGTCCAAGAAAACGTTCAGTACCACCAGGAACTTGATGACCTTGCGATGGGCCTCGGATTACAAACCGCGACATCAAAGACTGTCGTCTCCGCCTTGTCTATTCCCGACGAAATCGATGTTCTCTTCCTCCTTTCTGTTCCTACCACTTTCAAAGATACCCTCCTCGCACAGTCGAAACTCCTTCTATACACTCCGATTAACGAACACTTTGGCATCGTTCCTGTTGAGGCGATGCATGCTGGACTTCCTGTGTTGGCATCTAACACTGGTGGTCCATTGGAAACTATCGTCGAGGGCGTTACGGGCTGGCTCCGAGATGCGCATGCGAGTGATGAGTGGACAGCAGTGATGGATAAAGTGCTCTATGGCATGAGCCAAAAAGAGATTGATGCAATGGCAGCGGCAGGTAAGGTCCGAGCCGAGAAGGAGTTTTCTCTCACAGCCATGGGAAATCGTTTGGAAGACGAAATCTCGACGATGTTGACAGCCAACCGGCGTCCCTTCCACGGATGGCAGCAGGTGTTTGTTATGCTAGCTCTTCTTGGGTCGCTGTTTGCTCTGGCCGTGGCTCTCTTGCTTCGCGCTTTGTAATTTAATTTACCTTCCAAATTATACCCTTTTTCTTCTGTCTACCGCTTCATTCCAAACATTTCCCCTTCATAATTGCCCTTAAACATAATTGCCGCGGTGTAGATCGGCGGGCCTCAATCACCTGACTTCGTGACGTCGCGTTCCTCCGCGTCGCCCACTTCAACGCCCCGACACATCTCATCATGCCCGAGATCATTGATCTCATTTCTTCCGATCCACCATTACCGGAAAAGCCGCGACCCCAAAATGAGTGGCAGGCGACGCGTCCACTCCCTTCGCGGGGGTTATCCAACCTCGGCACGGTTTCGTCTGATTCGATAGACGTTTCGCTATTCAATTACGACGATATATTCGACAAGCCAACCAAGAAGCGCCGAGTGAGCAATGAAAGGCGATCGCCTCTGCGGAAAACTACATCAACCAATGAAACCACGATCACCGACCGCGTCCCATCTTTCTTGTTCTCGGACGAAGATTTTGGCCTGCCGCCCTCGAACAACTCCGCCACACGCCGACAACCGGCCGGAAATGTGGAAGACTTGGACCCGATTACCTGGAATTCCTCTCAGCCTCTGCCGCTGCCCAAATCGAAATTGTCTGCTCGATCACGAGACCCAGTTTGCGAGTTCTCCGATATCATAACCTTAGACGGAGACGTGGATCATCTCAAGCCGCAAGGAAGAGATGCGTCTCGTGTCGGTAGACAGGAGGAAATAGAGGAATTCAGTGATCCTTTTGCCGGACTGCCGGAATTTTCAGATGTACCGGAGTTCCAGGAAACGGGAGTTTCCCATTCTACTGGTGTATTTTCCAGCAAAACCGCTGAGCTTTTGTCAAATCCGAGCACCACCGGCAAACGAAGTGGAATCCTGTCCCCCCAAAAGACAGGCGCGCGATCTCGAAATTCAAAGAACGACGATGTGATGGGTCTATGGCTATCTGACGATATGGAGGAGCCAGCGCAACCGAAACGCCCGGCTAAAAAGACGAATAAGCTTACAACCGAAGAGAAAGAGGCAAAAGCAAAGGCTAGGGCTGATGCTAAAGTACAGAAAGAGTTGGAGAAAGAAATGGAGAAGGAAAAGAAGAAACAGCTCAGGGAAGACAAGGCGAAGCAAAAACAGCTGGAAGCCGACATATCGGAGGTCAACAAACTCAAGGTGGATAAGAAGGACTCTACACCGGAGATGATTCTTGACATGGCCTCATCATTCGAAGGAGGTGCTGTGGGGAACCAAGCAATTGAGTTCATGAGACGGCTCGGGGTTGATCATCATTTCTTTACTAGCCCCATTCCACAAATGGTCAAATGGCGCCGGAAGATGAATGCCCGATTCAACGAAGATGCTGGCCATTGGGAACCCTGTCCGTTCTATATACAGACTGAGAAGCATGTTCTATGCTTGGTACCGGCCCAGGATTTTGTGGACATGGTCATTCCATCCCCTGATGGCGAGGAAAGAGAACCATTGGAGCTTCATGTTCTCAGGATCAAAAGTGCCCACCCAGAATGTACTGTCATTTACCTGATTGAGGGTCTCATGGGCTGGATGCGCAAGAATCGGAACTCGCGGAATCGAGCATATCAAGCGGAAGTACTCCGCCAATATGAACCAACCAGCACCCAGACCTCAACTACCTCCTCTCGTGGTCGCAAGAAGAAGAATAAACCCGAGACCACCCCACCAGTCGATGATGACACCATCGAGGATGCCCTTTTGGAGCTGCAGGTATCGCATGCGTCTCTCATCCATCATACCAACACGCCGTCCGAATCGGCCGAATGGATCAAGAATTTCACCGAACACATCTCCACCATTCCCTATCGACAGCAGCGATCCAACGGCAACGACGCTGCATTCTGCATGGATGTGGGCCAGGTCAAGACGGGCGAAGATAAACAGGATACCTTTGTCAAAATGCTTCAAGAGGTGAACCGTGTCACTGCTCCTATGGCTTATGGTATTGCGGGGCAGTATCCTAGCGTAACCGACCTGGTTCGAAATATGCGGACCCGCGGGCCCACGATGCTCGAGGATGTCATGGTATGTCCCCTATCATTGCCCCCCTTCCTTTCCCTCTTCTTTGCTTTTGATTCCACGCATCCTCATCACAATTATTCGGCCATTACGCGACTCAGGAGCTCTGGAATATCACTAACTCTGTCTAGAAATCCGCTAACAAGAACGGCGGCGTCACCAACTCCCGCGTCGGCCCCGCAGCCAGTAAGCGGCTGTACAAAGTATTTACAGGTCTAGATCCCACATCAACAGACGTCTAGCCACTTGAGTGCTAGTCCCATAGATTATCCCCTTCGGGTCCATTCGGCTTGGAAACAATTGGTTTACGGAGCACATTTTCATACTCCCACAGAGAGGAGATAGAGGTTTACCAGCATGAATATCATGATACATGTCCCGAATATGCAAACATGCCTTTTCATACCGACCACTGTCGTTTTTCTCTTCCCTAAAAATACCCTCGGTCTTCAACTGTCGTAATAATGTTGCCTTCGGACCCATGATTGGAATTGTGGAGCCTTTGATCCGTTTGATCCATTTTTCGTCGCCAGGGCCGGTGCGATTTGCCGAGCAGTCGCCACCAAATCCCCCCTAAATCTCCTGGCAAAGCTTAGCCGTGCTTCTTAGGGCTGTAAGGCTGACCTAGCGGGAAATAGCTCCACGGATCCTCCGTGCACAAGCAGGTATTGTGCGGCAGGGGCAGGAAAGCGAAGTGGAACCCCGGGTTGGGTCGTCTGCTATTCTGAGATTTTCCGCCCTCTCCCTCTTTCGCTTGATCGGATTTATCTGATTGATTTCGTCTTGATTGATCTGATTGATTTGATCGATTTGATTGATAAAGTTGCCACCCTCCCCATCGCTCGTTTTTCTGGGAGAAAGTTTCTTTTTTCTTTTTCTTTTTTTACTCTTCTTGGTGCCAGGATGTTCTTTGAGAGATGGGGCGTGAGCCCGATGTTGTTCTTTTCGACGGCCTTGCTGTTTGTCTCGGCTTTCAACTATGGATTCAGTGACCAGGCCTTTGCCTCGTGTCAGGCGATGGACTCGTTCACCCGTCAATTCGGTGTCTATAAAGAATCGACAGGGAAATGGGCATTGGATCCTTTGTTCACCTCTCTCTATAATAGTATCAAGGCCGGTGGTCAGATAATCGGTTCGTGCTCCGGATCTCTTTTTACTTCATGCTTTTTGTCCTTGATCTTAACTGGCTCCCAGGTGTTTTTGTCGGTGGATGGGTGAGCAATACATATGGCCGTCGGATGTGTGTCTTTGTTATGAGCATCTATGCCCTGGGCAGTGCTTCTGTTGTGATCAGTTCTACGACGCAAGCCCAGATTCAGGCCGGTCGAGCCTTGCACTGTAAGTTTACAACTCATGACCCGACTAGCGGAGCCGAGACTGACTATTTTATCCTATAGACATCTATTTAGGCATGCAACTGGCCGTTATCCCAACAACTTTATCTGAAATTGCCCCGGCCAGAAACCGCGGTGGAGTTAGTGTGTTATACTGGTTGGCCATCAAGGTCGGAGGTCTCATCGTGACATCCATCACACGAGGAACCAAGACCATCGAATCAAACGCCGCTTGGAGAATTCCATTCGGACTATTGCTCGTGGTTCCATCCATTGTGATCTGTCTCGTGTGGTTCATCGCCGAGTCACCTCGCTGGCTTCTTCTTCGTGGCCGTGAGCCCGAGGCCTATGAGGCCCTCAGAAAACTCAAGCCCAAAAATATGCCTGAAGAGGATCTTCGAGCTGAGTTCGATCTCCTTTCCCTGAAGGTCTCCGAGCAGCTGCAGAAGAAGAGTTTCAGTGATCTATTCACGAAACCGAACCGTCTGCGCACATTTGTCGTCGTCATGTCCAACTTCTTCCAGCAGGCTACCGGTCAAGCCTTTGCTTCGCAGTACGGAACTCTCTTCGTGAAGCAGCTCAAGTCAATCAACCCGTTCAGCGTGACACTCGGCACTAACGCTGTTGATATCGGTGCCATTATCATTTCAGCATTCCTGATTGATGTTGTCGGTCGAAGGTACGTTAAACCCAATCATTTCACAATCCAATTTACACGGTATACTGACTCCAAATTCAGGGCCCTGTTCCACACAAGTTCCATCCTTCAGACTGGAGCTCTCATGACGATGGGTGGTCTCGGCACGGCAGATGCAGGCAACAAGTCCGCCAAGCAGGGAATCGTGGCCATGCTTATGATCTTCAGCTTCAGCTGGTCTCTTGGCTGGGCACCTCTGACATATGTCATTGGCGCGGAGCTACCTTCCTCACCTTTGCGAGAAATGACCCTTCAAATTGCTTATTTCGTGAAATTGATCACCGAGTAATCAGAACCCCCCCTCCCCCTTCTTTGGGGATTTTCTTCTTTACGGTCATGCTAACGAACTGCTACAGATTCGCTGTGACTTTTTCATACCCGTATATGGAGACTGCTGATACACCCGGCCATGTCTACCTTGGTGGAAAACTCGGTTTCATCTATGGGTCTCTTTCGGCGGTAGCATTCCTGTTTGGATACTTCTTCATGCCGGAAACACGCCGTATGGAGCTGGAAGATATTGATGCTCAATTTACCCCGAGTACTAATGACGAGGAGACCAAGAACTTTGATACCTTGGTTAGAGAAGAAGATGCGACGACTGTGATCGAGATCTCTAAATAGACTGGGAGGTCACAGGCGCACTTGAACCTTGAACCTCGAAGGTCGAAGTGATCCTACCTAGGTAGGTAGGTACTACTAAGTGGGATTAACGGTTCCTACGCCCTACTACTAGTACTATATAGATATCTACAACTTTTCACATACTGTCCAAGAGTTGACTCGGATTATTCAGACATAAATTTCGAGTTTTACAAGATGACATAGATCATCAGCAAGCCTTTGCCATTTTCATAAATTTCGTGAAAGCTACCAGTAACTTGAACTATCCCATCCAGCTGATATGGTTTATTTAAACTGCATAACCCAGAAAGCCCAGAACCCATTTTTTTTCCCGTCAGCTTTTTCCTCGTATGTTTCCCTAGCCAAAACGGCGGCGGGGAACGAATGGGGAGTGTGGTTGCGCCCGTTAGCTGCAATAGGTTGTGGGTCGACACATGTGCGATGAATGTGTAGGCAGGATCATCTCGGGGTAGCATTGTCCAGATCTCGACTGGGACAGTCACAAGCATGGTGCCTGAGCCATGGAATGAACCTTCAAGGGCCACATCGGTGGAAAGAATGCCATGGGGGATATTTCGTGCCAGCCACGCTGTCCATTGCGCACGGTCTTGCGGAACATCTCCCCGAACCCTCACGCTTATCAAAACTCGATAGCTGTTTTGGTTCATACTTCTCGAGACCCTCTGAGTCGCCAAACTCCGGCCTATTGTGACACTTCGAGATCCGATCTTGGGGACGTGGACTGGACAGGCTCCAATATGGGTCTCTTGAGCGAAACGGAACATTCGACTGTAAATCGTGGCCAAGGTCTGCGGTTGGTCGTTGAGAGCGCGAAGGGTATCGATTAAGATTCGCGTGAATGATATATCGAGAATAGCTGTCGCAGTTTGGTCCCAGGGACAGGCTGCCATGAATTCCGCCCCATTGTATTGGCTTAATGCCCCAGAAGCAGCGGAACAACAATCAAAAATGTAGCACGATTCACCAGGGATACTTTCCAAACCATCTCGGACTGTCCACCAGTTGATATCAGGATCTGCCAATCTGCCAGTGTTAGGATCTACCTTCAAGTTTCCCCTGGGGCATGTTAGTTGATTCAAGTTGATATCAAAACAAAGGGAAAGAGAGATTGATAACTCACCTTAAGCGCCAACTTGTTGCCTCTAAACCAGACACATGCGCATGACCGGAATAGACAAAGATCCTTAGTATATCAGGGCCTTGATGCTGTCGAGACCATTCGCCTAAGCGAGTCACAAGCTTGTACCATGAATCGACGAGTGGGATGGTGAAGGATGTGGTGTGAAAATGATAGATGTTTTTGAAAACGTCGAGGAGCTCTTGTTCAAGTGGAACAACATTCAGGTCATCGTTCTCCCAGTGGAATGCAATGACATGAGTCTCTCTGTAAGGCGTGCATTGAATGGCGTTGTTGATTGAATCTCTCACTTCGCTCACGAATTGCTGGGTCACCTTTCCGGGCTGGGGGGGCTTGATATGCAGCGAGTGGGTGCAATGACATAGCTGTGGAGGCGGTGGGCGTGACTGCAGGTGTTAGGTGAGCGATAAATGAGGTTTCAAACGGGCGTGGCAAGAGGTCAGTCAGAGAGAAGTGGATGAAATGAGATGGTAGTAGGGAAGGTGGTGGTGGATGGGATGCGATCTATTAACTATAGTGTCTCCGGGATGACTCAGCTCTCTGAACAGGATACCATGATCATGCTCAATATGGAAATAGGCAACTATGGGTATCTAATTGAAAGTAGATTGTGTTTACCATGGTTGAATACCTAGTAGGTATTGGTCTCTAAGTGTGGTCAGGGTACTACTACCGCTCAGTGGGGGCATAGGCAATATTAATCCTACTAGCACTAGTACTATATAATATGCCTATTCAGGCTTTAAGGTTATACCTACCTAGGTACCTATCTAGGCATATCACTATTAGACATTGAAATTAGCACTGGAACATACTACTCAGTTAGGTACCTGACGGTGACAAAGTAGAATTGTGGCCTGCAACTAGCACTGTAACCTCTGGTGGTAATATATACACAGCATTTTTTCTAAATAAGCAGGATAGGGTGTTCAGATCACCACTGGCAGAGCCTAGAGGGGGTGTGATGACGATAGCTACTACTAGAGATGCGTGGAAGAATGATCAAAGATCTGTGTATTCTGAGACAAAGGAGGGAGGCTGATATAACTAGTACCTGGTGATCTGAGCATGCCTGAGGTAGAACGGCATCTACCTGCCTCAACAGGGTGTCCACTTAGTAGTGTCCGAGGCCAGTACCCTGTATTGTTGAGATCAAACGATTGACATAGTATTAGCAGTAACTAACTATAATTTGAATATAGTTTTACCATGGCGGAATACTGGCCCGCTTAGTAAAACCGAACCTTTCCTAATCGGGACTTCCGGCCTCAGGCCGGAATCACGCCTTTGGCCTTTGGCCTTTCACCTTGAACCACTCCAACGTCATTTGGGAATATTGAACAGCATTGTTGCACACAACTCCTCTGAATCCGACATATTCCTCACACTCACATTCCCCATTCTCAAGGCTACTTGCCTCCAGTTCAATGACGTAGAGTGGAGTCAGGACAACACAACTGATCCACCCAGCTGACACGGCCGCTTATCATTCGAGCTCTCCGCAGGGGAGCTACCACTTGCCGAGGGACCTCCGAGAGGCGCTTGACCTGACGAACCCCGCCAGGCCGTGAGTCAGGCCGCGATATAAACCTCCAAAACTATCCGCAAAACTCCAGATCCTCTTCCCCACACTATCTTCCATCAAAAGCATCGAAACGACGACACACCGAGGGGGTTGCGGCTGCGGTGGACACACGATGACGAGCTCCGAAGGGCAAGCCGATTCGGCCATCGATAAGCGGGACTTCGATGCGAACCGGCCCCTGCTTCAAGAGGGAGCTGACGACGAACATGGACAACCGAGTCCGCAGTACAGACATTCACGATCGGGCTCACATCGTTCTCGGTTTTCGCGAGACAGTGCCAATAGCGATGATGGGCTTTTGACCGATGTTGTGGAGGGTATTGTCGAGCGTGACCGTCGCATTATGCACCGAGAGGTTGTCCGAGTGGTTAGCTTTGCCTGGGGAGTTGTTACATGGTATGAAGTGCCTACGGCTACAGGCTATTTTCTTTGAAGCTCACTCCGTCTGCTGCTTGTTGCTAACCTTCGCTCTCTACGCATTAGTCTCGGCGCAGGTAGCATCACTGCGTTTTCTCTCTACGGACATCTACTGCTCACACGACTTCATTACACACAACTTCGAGTCAACGCAGTCTCCATCGCGGCTGAAGTAGCGATGTATCTCCTAGTCCCGTTGTTCGGGTTCCTCTGCGATCGATACAGCCCATCACCCTTGTCCTTGGGCTCGGGCATTATGTTCGGCGTCGGATACCTGCTTGCTGCATTCACATATAAGAACGGCCCACCCCCTGATGTTGGGGGTGATGGGTGGCCGTTCTGGGTCATGCTCGTGGCGTTCATTCTTATCGGAATGGGAACAAGTTGCATGTATCTCTCTGCTGTAGCGACGTGCGCCAAGAACTACGGCCGTGGAAAACACAAGGGAATCATGCTGGCTATTCCTATTGCAGCTTTTGGACTAAGTGGAATGTGGCAGAGTCAGATTGGAACATACGTTCTCTATGAACGCAATGCTGATGGCAGCCATGGCGATCTGGATGTGTTTCGCTACTTCCTCTTCCTAGGACTTCTTCTTCTGGTCACCGGTTTCATCGGAACTTTCCTTCTACGCATTGTTGACGAGGAGGAGGAAAGATACATTGACGAGACCGTCGAAGAGCTGGAGCGCAGTGGGCTACTGGAGGAGAGTGACTTTTTCAGACCTCGCCATGAAGTAAGAGCCGTTGTTGAATACGGCACATTCTCTTCACATGCCGATGAGACGGGCTCAATGACAATCTCAGAGGAAGAACGGGAGGAAATAAAACGCGAGGAAGAAGAGCGCCGCAAAAAGAACTGGCTTCTTAATTATGAGACGCGTGCTTTTCTCCAAGATCCCACCATGTGGTGGCTGGCTGCCGGATTCTTCCTGGTCACCGGCCCAGGAGAATCCTACATTAACAATGTGAGTAAAGCTATACGAATCTCTACTATCCATCCGAATCCCATTCTAACCAAATCAAAAAGCTCGGAACGATCATCCCAACACTTACTCCGCCGACCTACTCCCCAGAAGCCACTCCACCAGCCGGTCTTCCATCAACACATGTTAGCACAGTTGCTCTCACGTCGACAATCGCTCGACTCCTCACCGGATCTCTGTCTGACTTCTTCGCACCACCCGCATTACATCTCTTCCCTTCAATCCCAGAAGGTAGTCGTCATCGATCAGAAATTGCATCAGACGACAAGCGCACGACGCTCTCGAGAATGATCTTCCTAATTCCATCGGCACTTATCCTCTCAATCGGCTATCTCATTCTCTCTACCCCACTCCCTCTTGAACAGCCATACATATTCCACCTAACAACCGCCTTTGTCGGCTTCGGATACGGCAGTGCATTCTCTCTCACGCCAATACTCATTTCAGCCGTATGGGGCGTGGAGAACTTTGCCACGAACTGGGGCATTGTTGCCATGATGCCGGCCCTTGGAGCGGCGCTTTGGGGAGTCGTATATTCCACTGCCTACCAACATGCGGTAGACAGCGGATCTGGATCCGCTGATGGACAATGTCATGGCTGGCGCTGCTTCGGACTCTGGGCGGTTGGCTGCACGATCAGTGTCTGGGTTGCCATTGCGGCCTGGTTAGCTGCCTGGCGAGGCTGGAAACGCCGCGGCATTGTTGTTTAAGCATATCCGCGATTTTTTATTTTCATCTACATTCATGGCTTTCGGGTATCATACGGATTAGCGGGATTGGTTTGGCTATATAAACCATTGAATACAAATATATACTTGATTTTACTATTTGATGATGCCTCATCCATTGATTACTACTAGTACGAGTAGTACCTACCTAGGTAGGTAGTAGAGAACTCCTTTACTATTGAGAGGTATAGATTTTGGTGTCTAGTTTGAAAAAGAAAATATCCATATACGACGAAAACACCAAGGGGCCATCGCATCGGCCACCCAACAAATTGAAGAAGAACAGACCTAAACCTGAGAAGAATAAACACAGGCTGGGGGATATTTTCAATAAAACAAGGCCGAGAAGTGAACCGGGAGGGAATCAAAAAGTGTGGCTAATCTCATACACGCCGCGAGAAGGGGAATGGAATAGGAGGAATGAACACGAATTAAGCGAAAGAACAGAGTAGAGTCCGCCGGGTTCTAAATGCATCCAAGCGTTGATCAGGGTCATTGAAACATCCATCGAGGTCGTTAGTCGTACCATTCCCAGGGCAGGGAACAGCTCGGGGGGGAAAGAAAATAAGGATCAGAATGAGAATCGGGGGGAAACAAGCACAGGGCAACTCCGGTGTGGGAGGGGTTATCTAGTTATCCCCAAACGCCATAACATCGACCCTCAAGCCGAATGATGAAGAATAAGGAAAGAAAAGAACATGACAGAAAGAAAGAGTAATAAAGCAAGGTCATCTCAGAAACTGACTTCGCCTGTGTCGGTCTCCATCACACTCTCGTCGTAGTATTGATCCGAGGGCGTTTCACGAACAGCAGGCTGAGAGCCAAGCGCGATTGCTTCGCCCTCTCCGCGTTCCACGAACTCGTCATGTGTGATCTCTTTCAAAATTCGTTGAAAGTACATTCGGAGTGTTCGAAGTCCTCGCAGGTAGCCTCGATCTATGTCCATCGGGTGATGTGGTGGACATGGTGTATCGGCAGGAAGTTCGTCCTCACCGGTAACGCAGTTTGCAAAGTCGACGATCTTCAGTTTTACTTTGGGAGTGTTGTGAGAATCTTCAGAGGTCCGACGTTGCAACTTTGGCCGTTCGTTACTCTGAGAGTTGTTGGCCTCCTGCAGAGGGGTATCTGACTGTTCCCCATCGTACAAGATCAAGAGACTGCTCGCATATAGCCGGTATCGGTCCAACCTGCGAATCATATTCTCTAGCAAGGATAACTGCTCCAATATATTTGGGATCTTTTTTGCTACACTATTGTAGCTGACCCCGTCGTAGAGAAATCGTGTCAGGGCATCTTGGAACTCACGGCCGGATTTCAAGTCTCGACCAAAGTACTTGTCCTCGAAGATGTATTCCTGCTTTTTCACATTCCAAGCCTGCATACCACAGAGACGAACACCCAACTGTCGAGAGGTCGTCGACTGGCATTTGCGCCTCTGAGATTTCTTTTTCTTCTCATTCGCTTCAATGCCGTACTGTCGGGTGCCCATTTTAAGGTCAAGGACACAAGGCTTGTTCATACCAGCTGTCAAGTCTTCCAAAAGTAGGAAAAACTGAACGCGCTCGTCTTTTCTCAACTGGGCGTCTTTGGGATTACTAGGCAGTTGAGACTCAACACCATCCTTGGCTCCCATGGCGACTGCTGCATCATGAAGCTTGCTCGGTGATGTGAAATGATTTTTGTGGGTGTCGGAGGGCGGTTCTTTGGCTGCAATCAAGGTTGATGGAAATGCCGTGGGAGGGGCATTTGAGAGCGCCGGGGCGTCTCCATCCATTGAAAAGATTTCATCTTCCCTGTCTCCGCCATAGCCCTCGTCGTCGAAAAATACAAGGTCGTTTTGGTTGCGT